CGAATATCTATGTGCGAGAAGTGGTAGTCAGGTATGGAGTGCCGGTATCGGTGGTCTCGGATCGCGATGTTTGATTCAACTCCAGGTTCTGGAAGAAGTTTCATGAGGAGTTTGGTACTCAGTTGCATTTCAGCACAGCTTACCACCCCCAGACTGATGGACAGAGCGAACGAATGATCCAGACGCTCGAGGATATGCATTGGGCATGCATGTTAGACTTCGGAGGGAGTTGGGATACTTACCTTCCACTAGAAGAGTTCTCATACAACAACAGTTATCATGCTAGTATTGACCGACCCCCGTTCGAGATGATGTATGGTCGGAGGTGTAGGACTCCGGTTTGTTGGGGGAGGTTGGTCATCGAGTCATGGGAAGCACCGAAGTGGTGCTTAAGACCACCGAGTTGATTCAGCAGGTGTGTGACAGGCTGCGAGTCGCACAGAGTCGTTAGAAAAGCTATGCTGACCGACGCCAATCAGATCTCGAGTTTCAGGTGGGAGATTTTGTTCTGCTGAAGGTGTCGCCCTGGAAGGGCTTCATCCACTTTCGAAAGAGGACCAAGTTGGGACCCCGATTCATTGGTCCATTCAGGATCTCAGCCCGAGTTGGCAAGGTTTCGTATCGGTTGGATCTCCTTGATGAGCTGACTTAGATCCATAACACCTTCCATGTGTCTCAGCTGCGGAAGTGTGTATTGGATGAGGTTGTAGTTATTTCATTGGATGATATTCAGGTATATAAGAGCCTAAACTATGTTGAGAAGCCCATTGCAGTTCTGGATAGAAAAACTAAAGCTCTTCGAAACAAAGTGGTGAAGTTGGTAAAGGTACAATGGCAGCACCAGAGGGGCTCCGAATGGACTTGGGAGCCGGAGGACGAGATGAGAGAGCACTACCCAGACTTATTCACATCAACAGACTTCAAAGACGAAGTCTAATCCAAGTGGGGGAGATTTGTAACGATCGGAGTTTGGGTAATTACTCTTTTTCCCTTGAAATGAAATTTTGTTGCATAAAGGGTCCCTACGTATGTTGGGCGTACATATGTGTACGCTTAACGTACTATGGAGGACGGAACGTTGGGCGTACGTAGCTGATGACCAAAAACCTAAATTTTAGGGCAAGGACCTTATTTAAACGTTCTTAAGCCATTTGGACCTTACACTAACCACTCTCCATTACTTTCAAACGTTCCTAAAACCCTGAGTCCTTTGTGAGAAACTCTTGAGATTGAAAGTGCCTCAAATATCTCCTTGTTGGTATGCTAGCAAAGAGAAGGAAGTGGAAGCAAGCTTTGAGCGAGGGAAAAGCTATTGGATCCTGCATTTGAAGCAGCTTGGGAAGCTTGTGGAGGTAAAAATCTTTCACCTTGCTTATCCTTTTTGCTTGTTAAGTTAGGGTTTCTAGAAGTCCACTTTTGAGTCCATAAATCCTATGTTAGGAGTTTGGGCAACTCTAGAGGTTAGGGGGTAAGATTTGAGGTTCTTTGGCTTGATTATAGCAAAAAAATGTAAACTTGATGACTTTTATGGCTCCATGCATGAGTTAAGACCCTTGGAAAGGTCTTAATGAGATAGAATGGGTTGTTGGGAGCATATATGGCATGCAAAGGCATAAATCTGCCAACTTTATGCCTTAGGACCCTTAAAACGTATAAGATCTGAAGTTTGAGCGAAAAGTCTGCATGAATTAAGAACCTAATGGAGTGGGATGCAAGTCAGCGTGTACGCTGGGCGTACTATGTTGTACGTTGTGTGTACAACCCCTAAACCCAGTATGCTAAGCGTACTGAAGAGGTATGTTGAGCGTACGGTCTCAGAGAGCTTTGGGGCTCTGGCGGACTTCGAACCTTTGGGCCCCAATTGTTTGGGCTTGGACTTGCTGATGGTATGGGCCTGAATTTATCATTTGGGCCAATGTTGGTATGATTGGGCCTATTGGGCCTTGTAGCCCAATATAGAATTAGACTTTGATGCTAGGCCCATTAGAGAAGGAAAGACTTTTTGGGCCATCATGGAGGGACTTGGAGTTAGGATTTTGGGCTCTTTGACTAGGTTGAGTTATAATCCTAATTAGGGTTATTTGTATATTTGTTCAGTGTGAGATTTTGGATTGGTAGTCGAGCAGCTATTGTTTTTAGCAGACGGAAGTGAGTCTCCTCACTATACCAATGGGTCGAAGGCACCATTGTCGGCTCATTACTTGATATGAGATTTCAATAGTTGAATATGCAATGGTTTTGTTATTTGGTATGTATTAACTTATGTGAAGACCATGAGGGGAGCTCATGACACTTGGTAAGACCATGAGGGGAGCCCATGACACTTAGTAAGACCATGGGGGAGCCCATGGCCCTTGGATGTACGACCATGGGGGTAGCCCATGGCATTCCAGACGAAGACCATGGAGGGAGTCCATGGAAAACCTATATATATATATATATATATATAATATATATATATATATATATATATATATATATTATATATGTTATATATATATATATATATATATATATATAGTGTGTGTGTGTGTGTGTGTGTGTGTGTGTATGGCATTATGTGGTTATGTGTTTTGTGTATTTTGGGAAACTCACTAAGCGTGTGCTTACAGTTTTGTTGGGTGTTTTAGATACTTCTGGTTCTAAGGGCAAGGGTCCGGCTTAATGGCGCAGCTTGCACTCTCCAGTATTTTCGCACTTATTGTTTTGGATACTTTGATCTTTTGGACATGAGTTTAAGTGATGGAATTTTGGAAAACCAAATATGGTTGGAATTTCTAATTATTAAATGAAAATTTTAACTGAAGTTTTGGGCTGTTACAATTGCCAAACAATTATTATCGACAAACCAATGAATTATAACCTTTGCTGATGGAGAAGATCTCGAAAGAATGAAATATTGTGTTTATTTTAGTTTTCAAGTGGTAAGGAGAACGTGAAGACAATCAAAAGAGATTGTTATCTCAAATCCAGATTATAAAATGAATAAGTATAGAAGAATTGATTATTCATATATAAAGACATATGTGGATATGTAACGTTTTTTATTCTCTCTCTCTCTCTCTCTCTATATATATATTATATATATATATATATATATATATATATATATTATATATATAATATATAACACTTTTATTATATATTATTATATATAAAAGACACAAGATAACCGTTGTGTGGAAGATAGAAAACATCGTTTTTTTCATGAAACCCGTGTGGCCGAATGTGTATGTTACCGGATTGAGTGGCTGGGGCTTTTCCTTATTTGCATGTTGACAACGCAAAAAAAACAAATTTGATTTTTCGTTTACATACATCATTTTTATGTAAATTATGCACAAACGGATAATTAAGAACATAAGTTGCTACTACTATCATCGAGATAATACTGCTCTACCACTTGAATAATTTGCACCAAGATGGAGAGTCAATGATATAAATAAACCATTAATAACAAAAGGAACAATTTGTATAAGAAATAAAACAATATATTTAACCAGAATTTCGTTTACAGAGTGTCCGTATGAAATAACTTGCATAAATGTCTTATACTAGAATGTTTACTATAAATTATATAGCAACAAAAACAGGGGAAAAAAGTATGTTTAAAAGTATATGCATAGTCGGTTGATGTTGGGAGGAGTGATCACAAGTAACTGCAGCTCTGGGAAAGACTGGAGTGGAGACCCTTGCTAAATGAATTTGTTAGCCAACTGGCCATGGTCTCAAGAGCACGGAAGCCATAATAGTTCATCATCTCATACAACTTCTTTAAGTAAACATTGTGCTTGTGGGTATCTTCATTTGCACCCGAAATAGGGGTTCTACACAGTGGGCAGTTTGGATGGTCTTTCAACCATGCTTCCACACACTCAACATGAAACCCATGTCTACACCTTTCTAGCATTGCCAACCTTTCTCCCAAAGCCACCTCTGACAAACACACTATACAATCAACTCGAGAGCTAGCAGCACCCACCTCCTTCAGCACCATGCTGGTTGTTTTGTGGTGGTCCGGACTGGTGAGCACCATGTCTAACCAAGTCTTGACTGGTGTCGTCACAGAGTCGATGAAGCCTGCTATCATAATCATCATCATCATCATCTTGATTAAATTTATTAGTACTTTTGGTGAAGAGAAAGAAGAATGAAGTGAAGTCTTCCTGGTTTGGTGCAAGAAGTGGACTCGTTGCCTAATTTATAGGCCTATGTTGGCTGATATTTTGGAGAAGCTTAAAATTAGAATTTAATAGATTGGTTATGTATCTATTTAGAAGAAAAGAAGGCATTTAATAGAAGGTGTGCTACATGTTATTCCAAATAAGCTTGTTATTGGCGGTACTCCAACGGAAGAACCATCAACGCCCTTAATCAGTAATTAATGTTTGTGTTCTTTCATTATTAAGCAAGGTAGTCGGTCATTATACTTTGCAACCTACCTATTAATTTGTTCAATTTCATTTTTGAACATTAATCAAGATGATAAAACTTTAATTTATTTGTGGATCAACATGATGAAAAAGTAATCAAATTGATGCTCCACTTGATGGACAGAGAAAGCTTGGTCAATTCAAATATTAACAAGAGTGGGTCATATGCATATATATGTTCTAGATTCATCATCGATATTTAAGGAGATTTAAGTTTTGACATTTCTTTCACGCGTCCGTCATGGTTAGCCACTTATCCCGACAACCCTTTTGTGGGCCATCAAATTTAAATATTCAATATACATCTTTTAATCATTATGAGAATAGAATGACAAGAGTGGAATGAATAGAGGAGATGTATATAATTCCCCGCAGTGCCGGCCCAATACATGGGCGAGTGGGGCAAAAGCCCAGGGCAGCAAAATTTAGGGGGCATAATATTACCCAGCAGCCCAGCTTATTATGGATATGTTATTATCATGGCCCAAAGTAAATTTAGGTAACACGTTTGTGTATTGGATTTGTGGTTCTAGCACCACAGAGAAAAGCGGGCAGTAAATTCTATCGATGCAGGAGGGCGCCAGAATTGAAAAACTTTGGAAGAACGAAACGTCAAGATTCGAGAATCAAGACTCACGAATCAAGATGTAGAAGACGAGGAGTCGACTGCTGATATCCTTCTCAAAACAAACGATTTCTAGATATATCATCTTTCAATTGATTACTCTCTCTCAATTTCTGAATACACCATCTTTCGATCGATTTATGTATTCCCTCTTTTAATCGATTTTGTTATACCATCTTATCATTTTTCCCGATTTCACTCTATATATACCCGATAGAAGAAACCCAATTTTTGGATATCGGGATGGCGAAATCTGGTGAGTGAAGACTTCGATTTGATTAACTTATCTGAGATCTTAATTTCTAATTTGTTAGAGTTGTGCATATTTTATTGTTAATTTCGTTTTTTTTTCATTTTTTTTAATTTCTTATTAATCTTACTCTGAGTTTGTACTGCATGAGGTATACGACCTGATTAATCTGATATTCTGATGTATATATATATATTTTTTTGTTTTTGATTTTCTAGAGTTTTTTAGCAATGTCTTTGAACTTCCTTTTATATGTGTTTAATTCAGGAGGTTCAATTCTTTACTCGAATTAATTTTTTGGATGCTTTGGGCATTACAAATGACTTTTACGTTTGTTCGGGAGGTATAAATATTTTTGCATTGGTGTTAATTAAAAAAGGTTATGATTTCTGATTCATTTTCGAGATTCTGGTTACTTGCATCTTGAAAGTCAAAAGCTAAACATAAAGTTTGGTTTGTCGGTCAGGTTGTACCAGTTATAATTGCTTCTGCGGAAAAATAATCAAAGTTGAAACTATTGAAATTGTATCTTGAACTACCGTTACTAAAGAAAGATCGGATGGGTTAACAATCTCAAGTATTGTTTTTACAGAGTCTTGATTACATGCTTCAAAACATAATGCAATAGTTTTAAGTGATTTTTGTATGTTTTGGTTTGTATTAATATTTATTTTGTTTGACTACAAAATTTAGTGCATTTATGTTCTTATAAAAATTATATATGACATGTGTTTATCTTACGGTACAAAGTACAAATAAGGGCATAAAGTTTCTATCTCGCCCCAGGCATTAAAAACCAATGGACCGGCCCTGATTCCCCGTATACGTAGTGGCACTCCAAATGGACTTGGATGGATCAAATTATCATTATGAGAATAGATTGACAAGAGTGGAATGAATCGAGTAGATGTATATAATTCCCGGTATAAGTAGTGGCACTCCAAATTGACTTAGATGGATAAGATCAAATGGTTTGGAGCGTATTCGGTAAAATTAGCTGGTAGTGGGTGGTTGTAGCGTTTTGATATAAACGTTATACGAGATAGATTTTAGATTTGGATTTAAACTAAACGCTAAAAACTTATAGTGTCAAACAAAATTTTTTGTTAAAATCTGAACGTTTTATCAAACGCTAGACGCCTAGAAGCAGGGACGAAACACAAACAATAACGCTAGGGGGGCCAAATCCTTAACTTTCACACAAATTATATAAATAAAATTAACCTACAATTACTATATTTTCATTTTAATATAAACTACATGAAAAAGTTAACAAACGTTAAATAAAAATAATAATATATTGATCTTAAAAAAAATTATTTTTATAAAAATAAAAATAAAAAACTAATAGTCTATAATTTCTTTACAACTCCAAAGTTAATGTCTCTTTTATACTAAACTAGGCGAATGTCGCGCGTTGCGCAGAAACACCTATATAGTTGAAGTCTTTACAAATATATGTTTTTTTAAATATAACAATAACGTTGTTATTAAATTTGATATAATAATTTATATACTAAATTGATATAATATATTGATTATTTTGAATTATATGAAAATATATACATTTATTATAACTGCATAATCTCAATCGTTTGAATGACTTCTACTCGTGAGTTACACATGAATAAAATTAAATATAATATGATCACCTATGTATCATATTCTAGGCGAATGTCCGCGTGTTGCGCAAAAACACCTATATAGTTGAAGTCTTTACAAATATATGTTTTTTTTTAATTATACCAATAACATTGTTGTTAAATTTGATATAATAATTCATACACTGCAAGAAATCATGCCTTTAGCGGCGACACAATTACCGGCGACATAGGCTTTTAGCAGCGACACAACCATTTGTCGTCGGTAATTGGGTCGCCGCTAAAGGCTTTTTCCCCGAATCTGCATTATCCCCTTCTGGTAGACCTTAGCCGTTCGATTGAGTATCTAATCCAACGGTTGGGGCCTCTTATCCGCACAAAACCTATATCGGCGACAATTTGTCGTCGCTAAAGGTCGAAAATGTCGCCGCTAATTGTGGTATAAAAAAAGACGTGGTACCCTTCCCTCCAGATAGTCGCCGCTGTTAACGTTTGTCGTCGGTAAAGCCTTTAGTGTCACCGCTAAAGGCCTGCACAGATAAAAAGAAAAAAAACGATGCATCCTTCACTTTTCCTTCTGTGTTCTCCATTCATTCGCATTCTGGTTCGTTTTTGCCCCTATTTTGTGCGAGTTACCGTCGCTTCCAACAAGAAATCTCCCAACATTGTGAAATTAGGGATCAAAGGTGTTTAGGGCTTCAATTTAACGGGTTTAAATCACGAGAACAACAAATTACTAATTCCCTCTCGGGTAAAAAGGTAACTTCAAGTTCTTATATCTCTTTGTAGTTCTCTTTTAACATCGATTTCTAGCTCCATTTGATGATTAATTGCAAATTATTTGGCAATTTCAGTGTTTTTGGTCGTTTTGTCTTTGGGTTTACTGTAAGGGGCAGGTGAGAGTATTTTCCGGTGAGTACTAATTTTTCCGGCGACATTGAGTAATTTCCATCACCACAGGTTCTATTTACTTTTATTTATTGTGAAGTTTTAGTTTAATTGCAAAAATATGTGTAGTTGTATAAATTATTTGAAAATTGTCATACGTATGTATATTTGATATTTGTATGTGAATCTATGTAAATTTGGTGGTATATATGTCAATGTATGCGTGTTTGATGTATATGTGGTATATGAGTATATGGTAGAAGTATGATGTTATTATCTATATATGTGAAATTATGTGTATTTGGTATGAATAGGATGTTATTATGTGTGTATGTGAATGTATGTATGTTTGTTGTATATGTGGTATATGAATGTGAAATTTGTGTATTTGGTATAAATAGGATGTTATTATGTATATATGTGAAAGTATGTGTATTTGGTCTAAGTAGGATGTTATTATGTGTGTATGTGAATGTATTTGTATTTGGTGTATATGTCGTATATGCATGTGAAAGTATGTGTATTTGATGCTCTTATGTATTATGTGAAAGTATGTGGTTTTGGTATAAATAGGATGCTATGATTGGAAAAAAAAATTATTGTTATAATTGGAGAAAAAAAACAAAAAAAAAATGTTATAAAATTGTTTAAAAACTTATATACAAATACTAGAAAGTTTCTAGTTTCTTCCCAAACTAACCCTAAATTAACCAATAAGTTCCAAAACTTATATATTAACCAATAAGTTCCAAAACTTATATACGAATACTAGAAAGCTAATTTCTTAACTTTTTAGCTCCAAACCTAGAAAGTCAATATCACACTTATTTTTTTTATTTTTTTATTTTTTTAAAGAGAACTCAATGACATTTTTAAATTTACTTGGCAAGTTTGATTCCTCCGTTTGACTAAAACAAATTTTAACTAAAACAAAAGTTAGAAATTGTTATATTTTCATGTCTTTTTAGTTTTTAAATTTTTTATTTGCAACATATTTATACAATGCTATAAATAACATATATATATATATATTATATATATATATCTATATATATATATCGATATATATATATATATACTTTTTAATCTCGACGGTAAAAAAGAACAACACAGCAAAATAATATAATTGTTTAAAGTACAATGCTATAATTAAAAAACAAAAAAAATGTTATAAATAAAAAATATATAAAAAGGTAAAATAGTAAGAAATGTTTTTATGGATATACGAAATTATTAATTTTGCTTTGTTTAAATTTTTATTCAATAAAAACTAATCGCTAAACATATTAAAAGAAAGAAACAATTTTTTTTCAATAATCATGTCTATATATTTGTACATCTACTATAAATAAAAGAAACGTGTGGAAAAAATTGATTAGTTGGATCTTTAACCCTTTTATTTAATACTTACAACTTTTGTCTATATAAATTACAAGTAAATGTAATTAAAATTAATTAAAAAAACACATAAATAAAAAAAATTTAATTTTAATTTTTTAATTTTTTAATTTTTTTAAACTGTAATATCTACTTTTGTGAGTCACATATAATTGTTTAAAGTACAATACTATAATTATAAAAAAATAAAAAAAAAAGAAAAAAAGAAAAAAAAAAAGAAAAAAAACAATGTGTATTGTAAAAAAAACAATGTTAATTCTGTATACTAAACTCTAAACCCAAAATTATGTTTCAGCAACATCATGTCTATTGATAAAAGTTGGACTACTAATGTACATCGAAACTATCAAGAGTTCCAAGCAGGACTCAAAGCTTTTATCGAGAAGTCCAAGTCACACCTTGATAGCAATGGTAATATCAGATATGTGTGTCAAAAATGTGATAACCGTTACTTCAAGTACCCGACTGTAGTGGAACACCATATATTTATAAATGGTTTTAGTAAGTCGTACAAAACTTGGATCTATCATGGTAAATCTTTTATTCTGGTGGTTGTCGAGGCCAACAAAATAAATACCCTAAATATTACACACTAAAATAGTGTACAGTGGTAAAGGGACCGTATCCACGAAGATTGACTCAATTTAAATCTCTATGTAAATCACTCGTTCAAGTACTTGTAAAACAAAAGTAAAAGTAAAACAGGGGGGGTTAATTCTTTTTGATTGTTTGACAAAATTAAAACTAGCTAGAATGTAAATATGACAAGTAAACAAGTAAAAGATTTGATTAAATTCAATGAAGTGAACATTGTTCTTGTGAGCAAAATATGGAAAGAATAATGCCTCCAATCTCCAGCAAAAAGGGGCTCATTTCCGGATTCAAAAAGGTGCCAAAAGCCATCCACCAACCTTCCACAAATAGAGCAAAAGTGGTACCAAACATTGTTCTAAGTGCAAGATGGAAAGAAAATAACACCAATCTTCAATTCTTCAACTTCTTCTCCAATGTTCTTGTGAGCAAAAGAGTGGTTTTCTCCAAGTGTTGGATGAGAATAATGCCTCCAATCTCCAGCAAAAAGGGGCTCATTTCCGGATTCAAAAAGGTGCCAAAAGCCATCCACCAACCTTCCACAAATAGAGTCAACAAGTCAAAACCCGGATTCAATTCTCCAGTCTTCACGCGGACCGTGTGTCGATCCACGCGGACCGCGTGGGTCATGCTGCAATCATCCTTTGGCCCATTTGTAAGAACCATCCAGCCCAATCTTCTAATTTATGTTCCAGCCCATTTGTGCAAATTCTTGATAGCCCAAGTGTGGAAATCGAACGCCTTTCCAAGATGCTCCAATGCTCCTTTAGCCTTCTATAGCTCGAATTCTCGTCGTCCCGTCCGAAATTTAAGTCTGCGCGCTTTCTTGATTATGTTGACACCAAGCCCATTTGCACCACTTCAAGTCCATAAACAAATTGCAAGCCTCCGGCAGTCCCGCATTCCTTCCACGCCTCCAATAATAAAAAGTCTTCGAAAAATCCTGCAAATAAGCTCAAAAGACTGAAAAGCATCCGGCAAAGGAGAAAAATAATAAAAGAGAAAATATGCATGAAGATTAACTAAAATGAGATGGTTTTAACTAAAAACAAACTATGAAAAGAAGTAATAAAAACGAAACTATCAAATCACCCCAAGCTTAAACCTTACTTGTCCTCAAGTAAGACAAGACTAAAATGAACTTAGGATGAACTATCCAAAAAAAAAAGGAGAATGAACATCTTAGGTGGAAATTCACGACACGCCCTTAAAATAAAGACATATAATCCATTTTTAGGGA